TTAATATTTGATTTTCCTCTCTTGTTTTTTCACCTGTTCATAATTTATTTGTATGACAGCTTGGCTAAAAATGATGTCAATTTGAAATGTTTCATTGTGTTATCACAAATAAACAATTGACTCCAGGCACAACTACACAATACGCTTACAAAATATTGAACACATTTTTAATACTATTTGAATAAAGGGTGAATCTGACAATTTTCCTTCAATACTAATTTGTGATAATTTTGCACAATGCAAAGCCATTTAAAAAAATACATTTAAATATTAAAGTTTCAGTGTCTTAATTAAATTATTTTATTATAATTGCAAACCTCTTAACCTGCAAGGCCATTGCATGTTTAAAACAATAATATCTTAGTAAAAACCTAAAGTAATATTGCCAAACTATATATCATTTGAAAGCTTAAAATCTCTAGTTTTCATATTTGGTGGCAGTTATCTAAAATAAATTACAGAGGAGCAGTAATTTATCAATTTGCAACAAGAATATTTCATATTCATTAGGAGGATTTAGGCCTTTATTTTGAAATAACAATAAACACGAAAAATCATGAAAGATTGGTAGAAACCTCAGTTTGTTTTCATGCCATGAGTTCAAAAGATAACACCAATTCCATTTTATGAGAAAAAAAGGTCTGGAAATGTTTTAAATATAAAGAAAAATGTATGGATTCTCGATTTCTGATTGGCTGCGAGCTATAACGGTATAACGTAGTCTTTTTATGCATTTATTAGAGGTTGAATTCAAATCAAATACTGCCAAACCACCCATACTACTTCTGAATAGGATGTCTACTTCATAAATTGTATGAAAATTATGGAAATAATGGTTCAGATCACTCAAAACATATATGAAAATGGAGGCGCCCTTATATGGGCAGTAATGGAGTCTAGTGAAAAAGTTGGGTACTGCGCCCAAATAAAATATTACTGAAAGCTCATTTTTTTAGATATCAACCTAAAATTTGAAACACAACTTGTTCAGATCTTTGTCTTTAATTTTCTTGCAGTTTTAGAGTAAAATATATTTTGTAATATATATATTTTATATAAAATATTAATAATTATATTTTTACATTACACCATTTCATAAACTCAAACTTATATAACTTTTTTTCTGTTTCATTTTATATCATTTCTAGACTTCTACAATAATCTGGAAAATGTCTTCTTTAAAACAAGACCAGCCATAGGTCTATATTCCAAAGCATTCCTGAATTACAACCATTTAAGTTTGGATAGTGATTTTTATGTCTATGCAAAAAAAAAGGGGGGTGCCAGTTAACAGGTTAAATAATTGGTGTCATGCTGCTGTGACCTCACCCTTGCAGGCTCACTATTGGCTGATTCAGAGGTTGAGGGCGGCCATTTTGGGTTCACATCATTGTAGTCCTTAGTTTGCAGCACTTAAGTCCCACTTCAGTCAGCACTTAAGAATCAGTCTTATACTTTACTGAAAGTTGCTTTTAGCTGCTTTATAAAAGTCTCCTACTCTTAGAAAAGTCCTACTCTTTACTAAGTATTTTTTTTACACTTAAGTCAAAGCTTAAGACTATTCTTAAGATCATTTCTTAGAAGTTTTATACATACGGGCCCTGATGCTTCATTTCTGTGAGAAGAACGTCGCATTTTTATCTTAAAGCGGTGTTTGATTATGATTTCACTTTTCTAACTGTAGTTAGTGTGTAATGTTGCTGTTTGAGCATAAACAACATCTGCAAAGTTACGACACTCATAGATCAAAGCAAAGGGAGAGATTTGCTTTACAGAAATCACTTTTTAAGGACTACAACACACGGCTGGTAGAACTACACGAGCTTCTTCACGGTTAGTGACATCACTAACACTAACATTTATAAACTCCGCCCCCGGAACACGATTTATAGATTATCATGACAGAATATGCTAATCAATGACTAGAAGAGAGTTACCTCCACATCAGCTTCATACATTCATCAACTATCCATTGAGAAATCTCCGGTTTGAACATAAAAAGCTAAAAGTTTTTGAAATGTTCAGTGTGTGTCTGTGTGAGGTAATCAGCTGAAACACACACACGGGCAAATTTGTGAAGCTCCGCCCCCTGTTCCAGGAGCAGCAGCTCATTTGCATTTAAAGGGACACACAAAACAAGTGACAGTTTTAACATGCGATAATAAAATATCTGTGGGATATTTTGAGTTAAAACTTCACACACACACTCTGGGGACATCAGAGACTTATTTTACATCTTGTGAAAAGGGCATTATACCACCGCTTTAAGTTGTTACAGAAATAGAGTGTGTGAAATGCTGTACTTTTTATTCTACATTGGAGTATTTTTTTTCTCTCCGTATTTTGTTGATTTATCTGCATTTTAACTCTTTCAGCCCCCTGGTTTCTGATCTTTTTCTTTTATCTTTTAACCAAATTTTGATGGCCTCCAGAATATTTTGTTGTATGAATATCCGAACATGCAATCTATCAAATGAAAGAACAGATCCTCTGCTTTAAACAAACAAACAAAAGCCATTTTATTCTAGCTTTATCTAGCTTTTTTTTCACTTGAATGTGGGCGTGTTTCGTTAAAAAAAATAGAAAAGAAATTCATAATTTTATAGAAAGAAACGACTTTTTTGACCATTTTCCATTGTGGTACAACGTTGCATTATGGTAACATTTCCCCGAAAAAACTTTTTTGATTTGTAAGATTGACTATTTCATGTAATAAAATATAAATTACATCAAATATTTCAGAACATAATGCATACCATAGAGGGTTAAAGTGCTTTTTAACTCTTTCCCGCCACTGACGAGTTTTCTGCGCTTTAACCGTTATCCACTAGAGGGCGCTGTCACGCATCTGACAGAATCTCAGGACTAAAAACACAAATGAAGAAGCAGAAACAAGCGATAGAAGCACATGCAAAATTACACGACCATCAAACATTCAACAGCATAAAAATCAAAACGTTACGGAAAGAAATGTCGACCCAGGAAGGGTTAACTTACTTTCTTTTGATGCATTTAATGTTTACATATTCATACAACAATATTCTGGAGCCATAAAAGTTGGCAACTTAAAAAAAAAAACAAATGCCGGCAGGGAAAGAGTTAATTAGGTGCTTCCTTAATGATTGCATATCATTGGTCAAATATTGTAAAATAATAACTTGAATTGAAATGACTATATCCAGAACAGGTTTCTTATTGAACTTTACATTTCTACAGACATCTTATTTCCATCCCAATACAAGTGTTTGCTGTGATTTAATTAAATTAACACACATTTGTGTAACAGATGATAAATAAGTTCACATATCACAGGTATGCAATGCAAGTGAACAAAACAAAAAATCTACAACATGATATGAAGGTATTTTACAAAGTGACGTGAAAGAGTTTAAACAGTGAAAAACGACTGTATTCAATGTGTTCGTTTAAATATCAGCTTACGCTAACAGTGCAATATAGCAAACTAATGTGCGTATATCAGTAATTCAGTGAGAGCTTCACAAACAACACAGACTACAAGAACACATGAGGAACGTTCTGGACTCAATACTAGTTGATATGCTGTCGATTACCACGAGAAATGATTTTGATCACTCGTTTAACTCTACACAATCTCGGATTAATGGTTATTATCGCCGTCATTCATCGCAGTTTCCAGAGTTAATCCGTGAGTAAATGTGTTTAACTTCTGAATGGATTATTGCTTAGAAAGCGAGCAAAGATAAACGTCTTAGTTTTAATCAATGAATCTCTTATTTACACCGTTTCTACACGTTGTTTGTTATAATGAGAGGAATAGGGATCATTTTACTGACTCTCAAAATAAACGAATCTTTATTCGAGTCATTTAAAGCCACTTAAATGAACGAAATGACTCGAATAAAGATTCGTTCATAGTTCATTCGCCGAACACATCCACCGACGCAACCTTGATCACTTTCTAAATTAAGAAATCATTATAATACAGCCAAAGATAATTCACATCTTCCGAATCGTTCGTTCATTTGTCACGTGACAGACACAATGTTAACGAACGCCTCTGATTGGCCATTGCGTTCAAGAAATCAACAGACATGCCTGTGATTGGCTGCATCGCTCAACGCTACAAAACATGTTAACGGGATTGGTTACATGTTCGTGACAGTAGAGAAATGCTACTTTTCTGCCTTTGAAATGTCTTTTAGCCCATTAGAGTTCTTGCAAACTGAGTCCGAAATTTTCGCACGTTAAAATTTTTAAAATGTTCGCATGTTTCGCAAGGTGCTTTATAAATAAACTTTGATTTGATTTGATTTAAAGAATAAATACGACCTCATGTTTTGTCAATCACGTTTACACACCGCCTCCGATACTTTAGTCCGTCATAAAAAAAAAATCGGATCGGGTTCGATTTTCTGAGTTTTTCGCATCCATAGCGAGCAATTTAATTGGTATTTTGAAAATTCGGAGCCACCGAAGGACGAATATGAAAAAACGCATAGGAAACTTTCGGACTCAGTGTAGTCTACTATTTAATTTAGTTTGTTTTTACCAAGCAGAACCTTCCGGTCTCTCTCTGGAATCTGACACTGAGTGAGTTAAAATGCAGTTCCTCCACTGGCCACTAGAGGCCGGCTGCAGAAGAGACTCAATCCCATAGACCCGCATGTTAAAATGCCCAACTTTACAGCAGAAATAAACATGTTTACACTCTGGTGCAAAAAGGGGTTTTGGTCTATATCGCTAATTTTGCCCTTCATGACGACTGTGAGGCGGGTGAATGTTTTTATAACTCTTCTGTTTAAATTATTTTAAGCCTTAAAGTTCTGCATAATTAAGGGCGTGGCCACTTGAGTGACAGGTGGATTGCCGCTGATCTCACTACTAGCCGTTTGTCTGCTAGCGTTAGCGTCACATCACCTCAGCTAATCCGCCTCACACATTTTCGTTTACCCGCGAGTGACGTGCTAACAAGATGGCGACGGCCGGCTCCGCCCACTTTGGGCTTCAGAAAGATCACGAAAACTACGAACATTTTTTTACAGTCTACGTTTTTTGTGATAAAATGATTTTCTGTGGTAACAGCATGTCAAAAATACTTGTATTGAACCTGGAACATTCCTCCAATGAGTCAAGATGTTTTAGTCACAGTTTTAAAGCACGTCTCTTCATCCGCTGGATCACTGCACAGGTAACGATCCATCCTTCTCTGTTCCATCAAGTGTTTTATCGCACATCAACCTCGATTCATGAAGTGACTTTATTCTGAGACATCTTTCACCCAAGCCTACTCAAGAGTGCTGTGTGGAAGTCGTCACACCAGGGTCCTGCAGTCCTTCAGTCTCTGGGGAAGGGCCAGGGAATGATGCGAAGAGTCCGAGGAAGACAGAGAGGTTAAAGTGCTTCTTTCAGCAAAGCTCCTTCTTCTCCTTGTTCAGCAAGAATCTTCCAATTCTGCCTGTTCTTCCTACATCCCTCCAGCAGGGGGGAGCAGTTCTCCGAGAGACCCGTCAGCGCCTGTGCACACAAGCACAGGACAGCAGGAGAAGAAGAAGACGGTTATGGAGACAGACTTCAGGGATGGATGAGAAAGCCTGACCTGAAGTCGTTTAAAAAGCTTAACGTTTGAAGGCTTTTGGGCCATCAGATGGATAGATAGATAGATAGATAGATAGATAGAAAAACAGACACACACACACACACACACATATATATATATATAAATGGATAGATAGATAGATGTTGTTAGCATGATTTAGCAGAATATTAGCATGCAGTTAACACAATTTAGCACTTCGCTAACATTTTTAATATGCTGCTACCATGATTTAACAGTGCTAACATGATTCTAACATGAATTAGCACATAACAAACACATTTTAACATGTTGATTGCACGATTTAGCACATTGTTAGCATGTTTCTAACATGAATGAACATGTTGTTAGCATGATTAGCATGTTGCATGTAATAACGTGAATTTGAAAATTTCTCAACATGTTTTAGCATGCTTTAGCACATTGTTAGCATGCTGCTAGCATGATTCCACCATCTGCTAACATGTTTTAGCATGTATGCTTGCTAACAGGTTTACATGTTTTACACATTGGTATAATTTTCTATCAATTAGCACATTTTTAACATGTTTTAACATGTTAGCATTATTTTGTACAATGATAAAATGTAGCAAGTTGTTAACATGGTTTATCATGATTCCACACATTGTTAGCATGTTTCTCCATGAATGTGCATGTTGCTAGTATGATTTAGCACATTGCTAGCATGTTTGTAACATGAATTAGCACATTGTTAACATGATTTAACACATTGTTGGCATGTTGCTGGCATGATTCAACAATCTGCTAACATGTTTTAGCATGTTTGCTAACGGGTTTACATGTTTTACACATATTGTTATTATTTTCCATGAATGTGCATGTTGCTAACATAATTTAGCACATTTCCAGCATGTTTGTAACATGAATTTGCACATTTATAGCATGTTGCTAACATGCTAAAAGATGTTTGCAACATGTTAAATCATGTTGCTAGCATGATTTAGCACACATTGCTAGCATGATTTAGCACTCATTACTAGCATGTTTCTAGCATTAATTAGCAATCACTAGCATCCGTAGTGCATTAGAATGACTTGTGATTTACCTCATATAACTGCGTACAAATGGCATCAATGAAAGACACTTGCATGCTGGGAATTTGATCCTGCTTCTCCCTGTTCATCAGATCCTTGGAAAGAATAAAGTCACATGGTTATTGACATTGTGACCTGGTTCTTAACGACTGAAACATGACATAAAACTTTTATAAAGTAAGTAAAGCGCTTACAATAGGCTCAATGTTCAGCTCTCTCCGCTCCTTATCGCCTTGTTCAAAGAACTCGGTGGCAACCAGTTCTGCGATCTGTGGAGACACAAACACATGTGGATTACTGAATTTGCACGGCTATTTTCATCTTAAACATCAAATGCTGATCAATTCATGTCTGTTTATAGTTGGCTTTTCTGCCTTTACGGGTTTGCTTATTAGTGGCCTTTGCCAAAGTGTTTTATTAGCCAGATATCGGTCACATGACTCCACAGACTGTGTGTAGAATACAACACTGAACGCTCGATGTGTGTGTTCTGTCCACTGTGATCTAACAATAGTGTGTGAATTGTGCAATTGTATCCGCACTTTTGGTCTTAAAGTGACAGTGCGTAATAAACCTAATGCCGTCTGGGCCCTTAATATTAATCAAACAAAAAGAGAAAAGCATTCACTGCTCTTTAATAGCTTAAATAAGGATTAATTATATTTATATTTATACAAATAAATGTGTCTGCTTGAAAGAATAATGTATGCAAGTTGTTATAAAGAATGCATATATCCTTCATTGAAAAGAAGACCGTGCATTACTTCAGGAGAAGGGGTTTAATTTAATTTTAAGTAGTTAAATCTGTGTCTGTATTGCACGTCTAAACTGTAAATTCATTCATATTAACATATTAACCGGGAGTATATAATGAGTTTGGAAATTTTAGAGAAATTCTAAATTAATGCATTACAATTTAACTAAACCCCTTAGATTTAGTCAACTAAAATCGCATTGTATTTCGTAGACTAAAACTAAAACAAATCAGATGACTAAAACTGAATCAAAATTTGCTGTCATAATGAACACTGGTGTGAATCAATGCAATGTAACGATAAATAATTGGTGTTATCAACTATGAAAAAACTATATAAAGCATGCAAACTGCATAGTGCAGAAACAGTACGAGTAATTTGTTACGGCAACATAGTGTCAGCCCAGATCCGGGCCGGATCCGGTACAGGTGGATTAAACACGGCCCAGATGTGGCCCGGATCCATATGTGGCCCGGATCCGGTACAGGTGGATTGAACACGGCC